CAATCGAAGGCTACATCTTCTAAGGACCAATCAAACTATTTCATGATAAAGTCCCCATAGATGCCAATATTGTTACATGTTTCAACAAAATGGGCAATGTGTTGCCTTGGGTTACCTTTCCTGTTAAACTTTCAAAAATTTGGTGGTTGGTAATCCTCCAATAGTCTTAGATTATCAATTTTGTGAGTATAAGGCTTGGTATACACAAGTGAAGATTATTATGTGCCTTCTTGCCAAGCTCGAATCGCATCATCAACCAAAAGTTTGAGCTATAGAAATGTAAAGGATGCTACGATAGAATGGGTAGTGTCTCAAAAAGCATGTTGGAGAATAGTTCAATCTAACTTATCTTTCTTTTGTTGTTCCAAGCTTTCCTCTATGACAAGTTGCTTACCTTAGTCTTCTTTATTTTCAAGGGTTTGCTTAATAGTTGAACTTGATGCAATTAGATTATTTTGAGTTGATAAGTGTTGAGCCATTAAGAGTTCTTGAAGTTCCTTAATTTGGGCATCCTTTTTAGCCATGGCTTTTCTTAAACCTTCCACAGCCTTGAGAAAAGCATCTTGGTCACTAGGCATCACTTCAATGACTAAGGGATGTAAAAGGGACTCAGATGATGAGGAAAGATAGTCAGCCCACCTTAACATTGGAGCAAGCACATGATTGGGTTCAAAGCTAATTTCTTTCCCTTCACTAGATTCTGAGGAAAAGTACTCCACATCTTTCATAGGTTGAAAAGGTATTGGATGGCTTATGATCATTTTCTCATTACAGCCTCCTTATGATATCTCCTAATGAACTACCTTAAAGGGGAACTCCAACTTGGATCTTGACATGCACACCTTGGCGTGGGTCAACAAGGAGGATTAATTGGAAAAGATTTGAGCTTTCCAATTTGCAAGAGGAGTTACAACTCGCTTTTAGTCCACTATGTTTGGTAAGATGCAGTGAAAATTTTCTTTTAGTGGAAAGATGAGAGGCAAAGATGTCCCTAATGGAGTCACTAAAAAATGTATAGTCACAAAAATCTAAAAAATCAATCATGTGTATTGATTTGCAAAATAATAAATACAAATTATAATGAATTTAAAAGAGATAGAAAACAATCTCTGGTTTGGGGTGCTACAATACACATGTTTGAACTTTAAGTAGTGGCACGTCTTAAAATAGCACAATCCTTTGATTTATAGCTGGATTTGAAAGGGCAAGAGCCAGAGGTTGATCTTGTCCTTCAATGGATTTAGATTTATCTTTGAAAATTTCTTATTTGATAGATAGTTGAAACTTACCCTGGATAGGGAGTTGAAACCTTTCTTAATCGGGACTTAGAACTTTGAAAATTGTTAAGGGGTTGGAAGTTGTTATTCCTCTCCTTTTCTCCTCCTTTTTTTCCTCTTCCAAATAAATGGCCCATTTACAACCAAAGAAAACTTGCCAAATTACCTCAAATACCCTTCACTTTAAGGATAATTTAGTCATTTCATAAATAAATTTATTTTAATTAAGGAGAAAATATCCCTTTAAAGATTTATCACTCCAACATCCAAGATTTTACTAGAGTAAAAATACGTTAATTTTAACAAAGTATTTTTAATGTCTACAATGCATTTCACCAAGGATTGGCATATTTATACATAAAGAAGATTGTAACCACCAACTTAATTCATTATACAATAATGAGCCAGCTATAATCACTTTTTCCATTTTTTTATGAAGGCTATGAAGTCATTTGAATAGTTGTTATTTTTTATTTGAATGATTGGCTACACTTTCCTTACATTTACCTAAAAAGTTTACTAGCCATATTTTATAACAAATGATCATTGAACTGATGAAAGGATGAAAAGAGTACAGTCCATAAAGTTGAAAGACCAAAATATGTTGAAAATAGTTTAGCAACTATAAGTGTTCAAAATGAAAAGTTTGGAGATTAACATTAACAAATAACCTAACTAGAAATGCATTGTAACATAATTTTTTTATCTTTTTCGACTCTCATCATTGTCATCAATGTACTTTTTCAGCTTCTTTTTATATAACTCAATCCTACGTTAAATCGTGAAAATGGTGTGATATGCATGCATTAGGGCTTATATTTGAACTTACCCCTATCCCCACCCTTTAATAGTGTACTAATTGCATAAAAAAATAGTAAATAAATAAAAATTAACCTTGAATCCTAAGTCAATCATGTTAATTCCATCCATTGTAAGGGTGAGTGGATGGCATGGCTATCCATGCATTCTAATTGGTTGATCTTCCCATTTTTCATTTCAATTCTAAATTAATCCCCTTCATATTTTCCTCCATTTTTACTTTCTTTACGCCACTAAATGAAGCCTTTCACTCTCTCTACAGTAGTCCAGCAACCCATTGTAGGCAAACTCCATGAACGAATAGAAAAGAAAAAACCTTTAGGGAGGAACTTGTCAAAACTTGTCATGCAACTAGGATTTTTTCTCTTCCATGCAAAAGAATCTAACTATTAATTGAATTTCACACTTAAAACGTCTAATCAGACTAATTAAATATAAACTATAAGAAACCAAAATAAAATGAAACTTGATGTAACAAAACTTCATACTTTTAATTGCCTTTTTTTTTTTTTTTTAAACAGCACTGTTAATTGCCAGTTAGAACCAAAGTCGTCACTTACCTTTTCTACTTTCCAGAAAAGTTACACTCCTTGACTTGCAATATATCAATAGATCTTGCCAATGGATGACAAGGTCATCCCACCTCACTACTTTGACAAATTGAATTTATTATTAGTTGCGTCCATCCACTTTGACCTATTGCCTGGATTTTGGCTTTCTTTCCCATAAGAAGTAGATATTCATTAGATGCCTGAGACACATGCAAAGGCATAGCATGGACAAGCTTTGTGAGAGTGCCACTTTCCTTGGCCTACTTGTGATGCTTTGCCTAGCTTTATCCATTTCTTCTCCGCCATTCTTTGTGGAAGCTAGGAATATTCCTCAGTTCTTTGCTACAAAAGGTGAAAAATTACTTTTCTAATTTGCAAAACTTTACTTATTTTTTCTCAAATTAAAATTTTGATATTGAATTTTAGTTATAACTTTTAAAAAAGATAATAAATAATTATAATATTACATATAATTATAATTTATAATTTTATTTAATAAATTAATATATATAATATTATAAATAGACTTCTGAATAAAAAAATTTCAAACATATAATGAGATATCATGATTGTAATTGTACATGACATTTAATTATATCATTTTCAATTTGGAAAGTCAATTTCCATTATGGAGGGTTAATTTTACAATATTTTTCTTACTTTGTGTTTGGGCTCTGGTAAACGGTAGGATCTCTAATATCTTATCAACGAAGGGTGGTAACCGATCCTGTTATGAAGATAGATCCTCCTTCTCCTTCTCCTCCAAATAGTGCAATAAACCATGAAGACGTTATCGTAATGCATATATGCATCTTATCTTCGTGAAGTCTGTTTACTCTTTTCTTTCACAATATCCTTTCCTACTACTATTTTCTAAGTACCATATATTTGACTTTGTTGTTTTGTTATTTGGACCAAATTAAGTTACAAAACATAATGGTTAAATGAAGTGGCTTTGCCCTTGGTCCCATGGGGCCCACTTAACTAATGAGCCTTGTTGCCAAGACTAGTCCCCCATCACCTGATGACTCATGTTTGGCATATGTTTGCAATTCTTTTTTTTCCATCACATTTTTGCTTGTGTTTATAGCTGGCCATTCTTGTTTGTGGTACTACTTCCTAATTGTAAGCCAAAGCCTCTATTTTTGAGAATTAAAGCATCTGATTGAAAAAAGGATGAGGAAGGGTTTTTCGTGGACTCACATGGGAGTGTTGTTTAGGTGCCGTAGCTATATTTGGCTTACAAGTAAATGGAATTGTTTATTATGGCTCTTAGGACGAGAACAGAGTATTTGGAATTTGAGCTCATCCAAACAAAGTCAATCCGCTGGATCAAAAAAGAAATAAGAGAACTCAACTTTAGCCTTTTTAATTGGTGCCTTTTTCATCAACTCTGTTCTTCTAAATATTAAATTTCTCATTTTCAATTTTAATATAGAAGCTATGAGAACTAATGTTTACTCCTACACTATTGTGATTTGAATTATAAAATTTCAAGTACCCCTTATATTTTTATAATATAAATAAATTTTAATTTATAAAAAAATTAAAGAAAATGTAGTTACTAAATCAATTTAGGATTGATTACCTTAATTTAAGTAAGGATCAGATTGGAGTCCTTAATCATGGAAAAGTGTTAGAAACCCACAACTTCTATGGTAAGCAGGTTATAACAAAAACTTAATTACAAACGACCTAAGTACCTCAGTGATTATTTTTTTTTCGATTATTTCTTTTCGCTAGAAGTAAGAAGTATTTAGTTTGAGTCGCATGGTGTACAGGTAGCGTAAGATAAAGGATGGGAGATGGTTGCCTCCCATTATGCAACCAAGATAAAATAATAAAAAAAACTGGATTAAATTGGTACATATTAATTTAAGATTAATTTAAATTTAAGGTCATGGGTTCAAATCTTTATAATAGTTTGAGAAAAAGAAGGGGAAGGGGAAGGGGGAGGGGGGGAGAGAGAATCAAAAAAGTGTGGAACAAAACTTTATTTTCTTTTGTCATACATTTCTATGACTGAGAACTTATATTTTGTTTTTGTAAGGACAGGTCCAAGGTGCCCAACCTCGGACGAATGGCAGTAATTCTTTTATAACCGGAGTGAAAGATAAACCCAAAAAGTTCCGCTCAAACAGTTGCATGACAGCGACAATAGGCATGCCCGCACCTGATTCCTTATGACAAACTGCACAACAGTTACGATGGACATTCTTGCATCTGAATATCTCTCAATTTCCCAATCCTGAAATAACCATCTGGGGGGACACATCAAACCCCGATTATGTTGCTTGGCATGCCACATGGGTTCCTCACTGGAGCCTATAAATACCCCCCAAGGGCCATGTCAAAAAGGTAATTGAAACCAACCCTAAGCTCCTCTTATCTCTATTCTAAAAGTAGCCCCGATTATTGCTGACTTAAGCATCGGAGTGTCTACCCCGAGTTCAACCTCCCGGCTTTGCAGGTCAATCCAGAGTGCAAACGTGGACTGAAGAAGGACTTTTGGTTTGGTGCAATTACATTTGACGCCGTCTGTGGGAATCCGAACTGAAAGCTCTCTTGTTGCTTTCATCATTGTTAACACTCGATCAGTCCGAGTTGGAAACTCATCTCAACCTCTTGGACGAGGTCAAGTCCCCAGCAACCTTCCGCCTCACCTCCCACCTCCGATCCCAAATATGTTCCCTCCTATTGATCATGTAGAAGGAGGAGATGAAAATCAACCACACAATTCAGCTCACAATTCAGCTTCCACTGCCAACCAAGACGTAGTTGCAGCTCAGCTTGCTGCCATGCAACAACAGTTTGGTGTCTTTTAGCTAGTACTGGCTCAGCTCTTAGCTCAGAACAACCCTGGTGATCCCCTCATCAATTTACTTAACCTCGCTCCACAACCCCTAGCTCCACAGCAAAATCCTGAACCAGTTCAGGATGCTCCTACTCTTAGTGAATCTCAGAGTCAATCTCACATAGCGCCAGCTCGACAACCCCTTCCTGATGATGTCACTCGACGTCTAGCCAGCTTAGAAAAGCTAGTAGCTAAACAGCGAGGTGCCCCCTTTCCACACCATGCTGCTGACTCCATACCCCACCCTCTAAACACCAACATCACACTGGAACCCTACCCTGCTGGCTTTAAGATACCTCAGCTTGAGACTTATGATGGGACGAAGGATCCCAATGATCACTTACATGCTTTCTACTCTTGCATGCAAGCTCAGAACACTTCTGACGCATTGATGTGCAAAATCTTTCCCTCTACTCTCTAAGGTAATGCTCGAACCTGGTATTATAGTTTACCTCTGAGGTCAATTAGCTCTTATACAGAAATGACATCTACTTTTGCCACAAAGTTTTCCAGTAGAAGGTTGATCAGGAAAACTACTTCTGAGTTGATGCGAGTTAAACAGAGGGATGAGAATCTTTGAAGAATTATATGAGCAGATTCAATGATACAGAACTGGAAGTTAGCTCCTTCGACCAGGCTGTGAGAATTGCAGCTGTGATCTTAGGTCTTAACCATGAGAGATTCAGGGATAGTTTGCTCAAGTATCCTGCTACTACCTTTAGCGAGGTGAATGATAGATCTTTGAAATTCATAACTGCTGAGGAGTATGCCTTGTCGCAGAAGCCAACTCCCTCTAAGAACCAAAACTCAGACTGGAGAGATGAGAATTTGAGCAGGAAATGGATGAAGACAGCACAGAATCGAGGTCCGATGTTGACCGCCACACAAAGATTCGGAAGGCCAACTCAGCACCTCCACAACAGTTTGCAGGTAAACCTCCAGTTACTCGGACCCCTTTTAACTTGCCGAGGTCACAGATCTTCATGCAGATTAAGAACAAGATGGACTTAACGCATCCTGGTCCAATAAGAACTGCTGTTGCTAGTCGAGATCGTACTAGATATTGTGATTTTGATCAAGATCACGGTCATACAACAGAGCAATGCAATAGTCTAAGGTTCGAGCTGGAAAGTCTAGCTTAGAAAGGAATGTTGAATGAGTACATCCAGAGAGCTGAACAGCCAAGATTTGTCAGAGAACAGGGACCACAGCCTTAAAGAACTCATAATCCATCGAATAAGCAAGGAGTGGGACATCAACAAGCCCCACCTCCACTTCCACCACCGGCTAGAATTATACACATGATTACAAAAGGATTGGAAGCAGGGGGGATGAGCTCCAAGCAAAGAAAGTTATATGTCAGAGAGGTCAAGCACCATAATCGAGCTTAGAAAAGAAAACTTGATGATGCTGACTGGAAAGATCAACCGATCACTTTTACACCTGTTGATCTTGAAGGGGTGGTAACACCTCACAACGACCCTTTGGTCATCTCAGTAATGATCAACAATTGTCAAGTCCAGCATGTACTTGTTGACACTGGTAGTGCACCTGATATCATGTACTACCACTGTTTTGAGAGCCTAGGGCTCGACCCAACTCTACTACAACGTTACAATGGTCTCATATATGGCTTCAACAACCAACCAGTTCCAGTCGAAGGGATCCTAACCATGAACATTGCATTTGGAAGTGGCCGAACCTATATGACTCATTCAGTTTGGTTTTTGGTGGTCAAGATGCCTTCCTCTTTCAACGTTGTCATTGGCCGGCCCACATTGACAGAGATCTGAGCTGTGGTCTCTCAATCTCATCTCTACATGAAATTTCCAACTCCCATAGGCATAACAAGACTCAAAGGCAACCAAGAAGTGGCCAGACATTGTTATCTCACTTCGAGCACAAGGCCATAGAAAGACAAAGACCAACCAGCAGAAAACCCTCCATAGGAAATCCATGACAATCAGCAAGTGATGGGGGTTGAAATCCTTGATAATCGGCCTGAGGATGAAACCCGAGCTGCTCTGGGTGAAGATGTTGAGGAAGTATAAATTGATGAAATAGACCTGAACAGAAAAATACAAATAGGAACGCGGTTGAACCCCGAGGAGAGAGCAGAGTTGATAGCCTTTCTCCGAGCTAACAAAGATGTTTTGCATGGACCTAAGCAAATATGCCGGGGATTCCCACCTCAGTATCTCAACACAAACTCAGCACCAATCCACTCAAGAAACCAGTAGCCCAGAAGCGACGCCTTTTTGGGTGGGAAAGATTAAAGGTCATCAAAGAAGAAGTTGAAAAACTCTTACAAGCTGACTTCGTCAGATGGGTCAATTACTGCGAATGGGTCGCCAATCCTATGTTGGTGAAAAAAGCAAATGGCAAATGGTGGATGTACATCGATTACACTAACTTCAACCAGGCATATCCAAAAGACTGTTACCCAATGCCAAACATTGATAAGTTGGTTGAGGTAGCTTCGGGAAACGAAAGATTAAGTCTCTTGGATGCATACTCTAGCTACCACCAAGTTCTAATGGCTCTTGAGGATGAAGAAAAAACCTCGTTCTATGCCGGCGATGAAATCTATTGCTATGTGATAATGCCCTTCGGCTTGAAAAACGCAGGTGCTACTTACCAGAAGATGGTTACCATCGTATTTCGAGCTCAGATAGGCCGGAATCTGGAAGTTTATGTTGATGATATCGTGGTGAAGAGTTTGAAAGCTGAAGATCACTTAACTGACCTTGAGGAGACATTCAACAATCTTAGAAAGAACAGAATGAGGTTGAATCCAGCAAAGTGCATCTTCGGGTGGAGTCGGGAAAATTTCTAAGCTTCATGGTGTCCAGAAGGGGGATTGAGGTTAACCCCAAGAAAATCAAAGCAGTAGCCGAGATGGAACCATCGAAGTCAGTAAAAGATGTACAGAGGTTGACATGGAAAGTGGCAGCTCTTCATAGATTAATCTCGAAATCTGCAGATAAATGCCTGTCATTCTTCAAGATCATGAGATTGGCAGTCAAGAAGGATGAATCTAACAAACAAAAGAAATTCGAATGGAATTTAGAATGCCAAGCTGCATTTGACGAGCTGAAGTCTTATCTTAGCTCACCCTCTTTGCTGACAAATGCTAATGATGGAGAAATACTTTACTTGTACCTCGGCATATCAGATGAAGCCATCAGTTCTGTGCTAGTGAGAGACGAAGGGAAGCAACAGAAACTAGTTTATTACACCAGTAATGTGTTACATGGAGCTGAAATCAGATATTCTATTGTTGAGAAAGCAGCCTTAGCAATTGTCACCTCGGCCAGGAAACTGACACTATATTTCCAATCACACCTAATCATACTCCTCATGGACCAGCCCCTCAGACAAATTTTATAGAAGCCAGAATGCTCAGGAAGATTGATCAAATGGGCAGTTGAGCTGGGAGAATTTGAGATAACATTTCAGCAGAGGTCAACAATCCGAGCTCAGGCCTTTGCTGATTTCATAGTAGAATGCACCTCGGCTCACTCTGATTCCCAACCCGGGCTGGACAGCTGGATTCTGTATGTCGATGGAGCATCAAGTAACAAAGGTTCTGGTGCTGGTGCAATCTTACTTGGCCTAGATGGGTACAGAAGTGAACATGCTCTGAAATTTAACTTCGATGCAACAAACAATATGGCTGAGTATGAGGCTCTGCTACTTGGCTTAGAGTTGGCAATAGAGCTAAAGGTTGCAGCAGTACAAATATACAGTGATTCACAACTAGTAGTCAATCAGGTCAACTCAGTCTGTGAAGTGGTTGATCCTATTATGATGAAGTATGCAACTCTGGTGGCCGAGCTGAAATCCAAATTCCAGAAATTCCATTTGAGCAAAATACCCTGAGCTGAAAATGAGCAAGCAGATTCCATCTCCAAATTTGCTTCTGATGGCAACCAAAGCTCCAAATCGGTTTTTGTTGAAATTATGGACGAGCCTAGCTTCTTAAAGCCAAAAATGATGGAGATCAGCACAGATCCTAGCACACCGAGCTGGACAGATCCAATTATCTCATTTTTACAAGATGGAACAGTGCCTATGGATAAACAAGAAGAGATGAGGTTGAGGAAGAAAGCATCTCGGTATACCCTTGTTAATGACGTCCTCTACAAGAGATCTTTCTCACTCCCTCTACTCTGCTGTTTGAACCCTTATGAGGCTGAATACGCACTTCAAAAAGTGCATGAAGATGTCTGTGGAAGTCACATAGGTGCTCGAACTTTGGCTCATAAAGTCCTTAGACCAGGTCATTATTAGCCCAACATGTATAAGGATGCCACCTAATTCGTACAGAGGTGTCAGAAATGTCAGTTCTTCGCACACCTAACCCAGCAGCCAGCAGAAGAGCTCACTAGTCTGGTAGCACCTTGGCCATTTGCTCAGTGGGGACTTGACCTTTTAGGTCCATTTATGAAGGGGTAGGAGGTGTAACCCATCTGATTATTGGTGTGGATTATTTTATGAAATGGGTTGAAGTTCGGCCATTATCCAGTCTAACCTCTAAGAAGGTCGAAGACTTTGTTTTTAGCTCAATCATTTGCAGATATGGAATCTCGAATCAGATTGTGGCTGATAATGGAACTTAGTTCAACTGCTCCTCATTCAGAGATTTCTGCTCTAGTTATGAGATCAAATTGTAGTTCACCTCGGTGTACCACTCGGAATCTAATGGGATGGTGGAATCTGTTAACAAGGTTATACTTGAGGGGATAAAACCAAGGTTAGAGCTACATAAGGCCAGGTGGGCAGACGAGCTCAACAACGTCCTCTAGGCATACAGAACCAGGCAAAAGCCTAAAAATAGCCCCTTACCTTGATAAGTTGGACGGTTTTGGCCTCTCACCTTATAATATAACGATTTTAGCCCCTAACCTATAAGAATGTAAGAAAATAGCCCTTATCTGTAACTTCCGTCATACATCTGTTACCGTCCGTCACTTCCGTCACTTCGTCCGTTATATTGTCGTTAACTTTGTCCTGCTTATATAATAAATAAAAAAATGGGAAAGCTTCTCCAAGAAGCCTGCTGCATTTTTTTTTGGGAATTCAAACCTTTTTTTTTTTTT